GCAGCGCTGCGGGCAGCGCCGGGCGGCGGCGGCTCCCCCGGGCCCCGGCCATGCCGCTCCGCGGGGCTCGGCGCTGCCCGGCCACCGGCACCGGCACCGGCACCGAGCGGGCGGCGGGGGAGGGGAGGAGGAAGGAGGAGGGAGGGATGGAGGAGGAGGAGGAGGAGGAGGGATGGAGGAGGGACCCCCCGCCTGCCCCCCCGCCTGCTCCCCGCCTTCCGCCCCGCCGGCACCGGGGTCCCGCTGGCGGGGCGGACACGGGGTGCGGGGGGCAAACCGGCCCGGAGGAGGCGGGAACGGGGCCGGGAGAGGTGGGGGCCCGGGGAGGGGGCGCGATGCGGGGCCGGGCCCGGCTGCGGGACCCCGATCCCCGTGGGAGCGATTGGGGACACACGCGTGTGCGGGACCCTGCGTGTGCGGGGCCCTGCGTGCGCATCCCTGTGCGTGTGCGTGGATTTACACACGCGTGTGCGCACAGAATTCGCATTTGTCCGTTGCTTTGCACACTTTTACACGCGCAGAATCCACGCGTGTGCGCTCACGGATTCACACACGCGTGTGCACACCCAGGTGCGTTTGTGCCCGCGTGTGTGTGCACGGCCCGGGCGTGTGCTCATCCACCCTCCTGTCTGTCTGTCTGTCTGCCTGCCTCTTTGTCTGTCCGTCTGTCTGTCTGTCTCCTGCTGTTCTTCCAGCTGCCTCTGCCATGTGTGTGTGCGTGTGTGTGGTCCCCGTGTCGGGGCGTGCAAGGAGACCGCGTGTGTGTGTCTGTGTCTGTGTGTGTGTGGGCGGGTGGTCCCCGCCGGGGGGCCCTACAGACTGTCTGTCTGTCTGTCTGTCTGGGGACACATCCCTGCCGTGGCAGCACCCCGGGACCCCCCACCCTGTCCTCTGTGGGCTGTGGGTGGGGGTGTCCCCAGCGCGTCCCCCACCCTGCACTCCCCGCTCCCCCCAGGGACCCCCACCCATGGGTGCCCCTTGGTGTCACCCCCACCCTGCGGCCCCCCCGGGTGTCCTTGTGGCTGTTTATCCTCGTGGGTGCCGCGGGAGCCGAAGGTCACCCCCGCTCCTGCTCAGACTAAACACGGCAGCGGCGGCACGGGGCTGGGGTGGCCCTAGGGGGGGACAGGAGCTTGCACCGGGTGTGTCCCCACACGGATGTAGGGCCCAGCCCCGGTGCACAGGGTCTTGTCCCCAGGGCCCTCAATGACACCCACCCGGCCAGGGTTCACCCCCTGTCTGATGGCTTGAGACCCTTCAGGGCTCCTCGGGGTGGCTTCAGGTCCCTGTGCCACGGCCCTGTCCCACCTCTGTGCTCCCATCACAGTTTCATGTCCCCTTATCGAGCCCCAGCTCCGTGTCCCTGCTCTGGCTCCTGCCCTGGATTTGTGTCCCCAGCTCTGTCCCCACGCTGTGTCCCCACGTCAGCTCCAGGTCCCTCTGCCGTGTCCCATTTCCAGATGGCTGTCCCGTCTCCATGTCCCCATCCCATCTCCATGTCCCCGTGCCGTGTCCCTGCCCTGTGCCAGCCCCGAGCTCATTGCCCCGGGTCACCCTGCCCGTGGGGGCTGGCATGGAGCGAGTCCCCCACCGTGGGGACAGGAACAGGGACGGGTGGGTGTCCCCATGCCCGACCCGGGACCCCCCCGTGCCCGAAGCCACCAGGTGGCACTGCGAGGCCACCGCGGCCACCGCTGCCCGGCCCCCAACACAACCCAACCCAACCTTAACCCTGTCCCAAAATCTGCCCCTCCATGGGCACAGCCACAGTGACAGCTCTCCTGTCCCCACATCTGTCCTCATATCTGTCCCTCCATGGGCACAGCTATAGTGACAGCTCTCCTGTCCCCACATCTGTCCTCATATCTGTCCCTCCATGGGCACAGCCATAGTGACAGCTCTCCTGTCCCCACATCTGTCCTCATATCTGTCCCTCCATGGGCACAGCTATAGTGACAGCTCTCCTGTCCCCACATCTGTCCCCAAATCTGCCCCTCCATGGGCACAGCCATAGTGACAGCTCTCCTGTCCCCACATCTGTCACCAGATGTCTCTCCATGGGTACAACCCCAGTGTCAACTCCCCTGTCCCCAAATCTGTCCTGCCACAGGCACAGCCATGACAACTCTCCTGCCTCCAGATGTGTCCCCTCATGGTCTCAGCCAGAGTGACAGCTCCCATCCCCACATCTGTCCCTAGAGCCACGAGGTCTTGGGCTGAAGGTGACAGATATTGGGGTGCCTTTGTGGCTCAGGGCCTCCTGCCACCTCCTGTGCCTCAGTTTCCCCACAAGGCTGTGGGAAACACCTGTCCTAAGAGGGGACAAAGAGTCCCCTCAAGCAGGGTGGTTCACCTAGGGGACAGCCGCCCATGGGGACATCCAGTGTGTGTCCCCGGGGGGGTGCCTGGCCCCGGTGCAGCTGCCCAGTCCCCAGTGTGTGTCCCTGGTCCCCCATGCCCTGTCATGGTGGGCATCCCTGGTCCTGCTGTGTCCCCACTGTGGCTGCCCACACCCCGTTCATGTCCCCGGTGCAGACACCTGGTCCCCTACGCGTCCCAAGGGTGTCCCCACAGTGTCCCCTCGTGTCCCCGCTGTGAGTGCCTGGCCCGGGTGGGGGTGCCCGATCCCAGGGCGGGCTCCCGGTGCAGCCTCCCCCCCCCAACCCCGTGCGTGTCCCCGGTGCAGCCACCCGGTCCCAGTGCGTGTCCCCGCCGTGTGTCCTGGCTTCCCCGACCGTGACCCCGGTCCCGGTGCCCGGTTCCCCGTGCATATTCCCGATCCCGATGCCCGGTTTCCCGTGCATATTCCCAATCCCGATCCCGATGCCCGGTTTCCCGTGTGTATTCCCGATCCCGATGCCCGGTCCCCGTGCATATTCCCGATCCCGATGCCCGGTTTCCCGTGCATATTCCCGATCCCGATGCCCGGTTTCCCGTACATATTCCCGATCCCGATGCCCGGTTTCCCGTGTGTATTCCCGATCCCGATCCCGATCCCGATGCTCGGTTTCCCGTACATATTCCCGATCCCAATGCCCGGTTTCCCGTGCATATTCCCGATCCCGATGCCCGCTCCCCCGTGCGTGCCCCCGCTCCCCGGCGCGCGTTCCCGGCGCGCGTTCCCGGCTCGTGTGCCCGCGGCCGTGCGCGCCGCCGGTGCCGGTGTCGGTGGCTGCTGCCTGGCGCTGCCTGAGCGCTGCCGCCGCCCGGCCCCGCGCCCGCTCCCGCCGCCGCCGCCGCTGCTCCCGGTGCGGCCGCGGGTCCCGGTGCGGCTGCGGCCGCCGGAGGTAACGGGCGGGGGCCGCGGCCGGGGCGGCGGCGGCCATGGCGGGGCGGGGGGGCGGCTCGGGGGGCGGCGGGACCGGGCACCGGCGGGCTGGGGGCTGCCGTGCATGGCGGGGAACCGGGCACCGGCGTGGGGGGACGGGGCACCGGGGGGGCTGCCGTGCTTGGGGGGCACCGTGCTCCGGAGGGATGGGGGCTGCCGTGCATGGGGGGGACCGTGCGCCGGGGGGGCACACAACAGGCACCGAGCGGGGAGAGCCTGCCGTGCCCGGGGATACCGGGCTCCGGGGGGCCGTGCATCCATGCTGGGGACTGCCGTGCGTGGCGGGGGACCGGCCACCGGCGGGGCACCCTGCACCGGGGGGCTGCCGTGCGGCGGGGGGGGGACACCGTGCACGGGGGCCAGGCCTGGTCTTTCCAACCCCCCCTTTCCAGTAAGAGCAGCCGGGGCCCGGTTTGGGGGGGCTGTTGGCCCCCGGGATCGTCCCCACCGCGCGGTCCCGGGGGGGCTCAGGGCTGGGGTGAGGGTCCCCCCACCCCGTGCTCGGTGCTCGGGGTCACGGCGGGCGCACACGCGTGTGGGGTGCGCGGTGCGTGTGAGCACAGCCCAGCCGGAGCCGCGCGTGTGGCCGCGGGGGGGTTGTTGTGCTGCCGTGGCTCCCCCCTGTCGGTCCCGCTGTCTGTCCGTGTCACCGGCTGTGCGTGTGCCAGCGCGTGTGCCCGTGTCTCTCCGTGTCAGTGTGTCTGTGTGCGCCCGGCCGTGGCCGTCCCTCTGTCTGCCGCCCGTTTGTGCGGCGAATCCCTCCGAGCCCGAGCCCCCCGCCCGCCGCCGTGGGGCCGGGGGCTGCCGTGGGTGGGCTCGGGGGGGCCGGGAGCACCCCCAGCCCGATGCCTGCAGTGCAGATCATAAATCAGCGGCGGCTGGAGCGGGATCCAGGGCCCGCGGGTTCCCCGGCACCCAAAGCCCCGGCGCGGGAAGCGATGAGGCTCCCCGGGCTCCTGGGACCCCCGGCCGCCCCCCAGGGCCGTCAGCAGGGTGGCCCGTCCCCCCCTGTCCCCGTTGTCCCCTCTGTCACGCCGGAGGCCGGCAGCCGGCCGGGGTTGGCAAGCAGCCCGCGCTGCCAGGGCTGCGGGCACCGCGGCCTCGCTGCCCTCGGGCTCGGCGGGGCGGTGGGGACGGTCCCCAGCTGCCACCCGCCTGGCGGTACCCGGGGTGACCCGCGCCGTGGCCCTGTTTTGCAGGTGACACCCCCCCTGGCTTGCCACCGGTGACGTGCTGGGCGGCGGGGACAGCCGCGGAGCCACCGAGGACGTGGGGCTGAGCAGCAGGACACGAGGAGGAAGAGGAGGAGTGGGCGTCTCGGGGCCAGCACCGTGGCCGCGCGTCCCCATCGCCGTTCACGAACACCGCCATCCTCGAGCCGACGCAGTCTGCGAGGAGGTCCTGGTGTGGCTTTTTGGAGCCCGAGCCCTGCCAAGCAGCACCGCGGGGAGGAGGAAGAGCCGGGAAGGCTGTGCCGGGTGATGGATGGCCCCAGGGGCAGCGGGACCGGGCGGCTCGGGGCCCTCGGGGAGCCGGCTGGCAGCACCCGCCCCTGCAGAGCCCCGCAGCGCCGGCCCCGCTGAGCTCCGCAGGACGATCCGGAGGGGCCCCGGGTGACCCCCGCGTCCCCGTGCGGGGACAGAGCGCGGGGCTGAGCCGCTGCGGCCCGGGCATGGCGCGGCAGGGCTCGGGGGCCATGCTGGCCTCGGGGGGCCTGGGCTTCCCCCCGCAGAACGTGGCCCGCGTGGTGGTGTGGGAGTGGCTGAACGAGCACGGGCGCTGGCGGCCCTACTCGGCCGCCGTGTGCCACCACATCGAGAACGTGCTGAAGGAGGACGCCCGCGGCAGCGTGGTGCTGGGACAGGTCGATGTCCAGCTGGCGCCCTACGTCATCGACCTCCAGTCCATGCATCAGTTCCGGCAGGACACGGGTAAGGGGTTGGCATCGAGCCAGGGGCATCCAGCCACCCGTCCGTCCTTCCATCTGTCTGTCCGTCCGTGCAGCCATTCATCCACACAGCCTTCGTCCTCCCTCTCTCTCCATCCATTATCCATCCATCCATCCATCCATCCATCCATCCATCCATCCATCCATCCATCATCCAGTGGCACATCCCTCCCTCCTCCCTCTGTCCTTCTATCCTGCCATATTTCCATCTGTCCTTCCATCTTTCCTTCCTTCCTTCCATCCCTCCATGCTACCATCCATCCCTTCATCCCTCCCCCTGTCCCTGTGAGTATCTGTCTGTCTGTTGTTCCACTCATCCATGAATCTGTCACTGCATGTCTGTTTGTCTGTCATTCCATCCATCCATCCATCCATCCATCCATCCATCCATCCATCCATCCATCCATCCATCCAATCTTCCCCTCACTCCTTATTCAGTGTATCTCTACTTATTCATCAATTCCTTCCTTCCTTCCTTCCTTCCTTCCTTCCTTCCTTCCTTCCTTCCTTCCTTCCTTCCTTCCTTCCTTCCTTCCTTCCTTCCTTCCTTCCTTCCTTCCTTCCTTCCTTCCTTCCTTCCTTCCTTCCTTCCTTCCTTCCTTCCTTCCTTCCTTCCTTCCTTCCTTCCTTCCTTCCCTGTGTATCTCTGCTTGTCTGTCCCTTCATTCCTGGATCCCTCCATCCCTCCCTCCATCTGTCCATCCATCTGTTCCCTCACTCTCCAGGGCTCCAGTGCCCCCATGGGCCCCTCCAGGCTCCTCCATCCCTTTCCTTTCCCATCCACCACAGACCCCCATCCCAGAGGACACGTCCCCATACCCCCCATGCCCTGTCCCCTCCGTGGGTGCTGTGCTGTGTCCCATTATCCCACTGTCCTGTCCTGTTCCCCTCCGAGCTGCTCCATGCCCAGGGCAGTGGGGAGGCCCCAGCTGGGCCCTGGGAGCAGTGCTGGGCACTGGGATGGCTGCAGCTCTGCTGGTTGGTGCTACTGCAGCGCATCCAGGCCAGGAATCCTGTGGGAAATCAGAGCTGATCCCACACTGGGACTGAGCCCAGACCCCATTAAACGTGTCCCTGTCACAGTGTGACCCATTAAACCAGCACGTGCTGGCTGTGCTGTGGGGGATGTGCTGTCCTGGGTGCATTCCTGCCCATCCCTGCATCCCTGCCCAGGGCAGGATCCACTCCAGGACAGGCAGAGCAGGCAGGGGACCTGCCACACCTCAGGTGACACCCCCTGCACCCGCCTGGGGACACACCCAGCAGGACCCCTGTGGTTGTGACCCCTCCCCTGGCCGCTGATGCCACCGCTCCCAGTCCCCAGTGGTGCCAGGTGACCCCGATGTGGGGCTGGGGACTGAGATGGGACCGAAGCAGGGAGGTGCCACCTGCCTCTGCCATCCAGCCTGGCTCTGAATCCATCCCCAGCTGGTCACAGACTTGGCAAAGGGCAGCTTGGCACCTGCAGCCCTGAGTCAGCGAGGACACCGGCCCGACCCGGAGGGTCTGTGCTGACTCAGAGCTGCGGGAGCCACCGGGACACCCTGGCTGTCCCCGTGCCACCTCCTGCCAGCTTTGGCCAGGGCCCATCCTCTGACAGCAGCTGGCATCACATCCCATGGCTGCAGTGTGGGTAACCCTTGGGGACTTGTGCCCGTGGTGGGGCCACCAATGGATTTGGGGTGACAAAACAACTCTTGCCAGGATGTCCCTGGGTACCACAGTCCCTGTGCCTGCAGGGCTTGGGGACAGGGATGCTGAGAGAGGGACCTTGATGCCCCCAGGGGTGTCATGGCAGGGGACACAGCCATTGTCCCCAGCATTGTGGTCTCCATCCCTGTGTCCGTCTGTGTCCATCATCTCTCCCCTGGGTGGGGCCCAGGGTTTGGAAGCTGCCACACGGCTCATGGTGCTCGGGGACAAGAGGGGCCCCTGAGCTGAGGGTGCTCCTGGTGCCTGCTGTGACATGGGGACACAGGGAAGGCTGGCAGGAGGCTGGGGGCTCGGGGGCTTGGCCCATGCAGTGCCTGGGGACAGAGAAACCCTGAGACAAGAGAAATGAGGTGACCCCGTTCTGAGAGCGGGGACGTGCGGCCCCTCCCGGTGGCCCTGGGGACACTGGCTTGGCCCTGTGGCTCTGGCATGGCTGGCAGAGGGGGCTGGGGACAGCTGGGGACAGCTGGTGGCCCTTGGGGACTGGAAGCTGTGTGTGCCAAGGGGATTTGGGATGGTCCTTCATCCTCTGGGGGATGCGGGATGTGAGGGGCAGGGGATGTGGGATTTGGGGTGGGGATATGGGACTTGGGATGGGAATGTGAGGGACATTTTGTGGGATTTGGGGTGGGGATGTGGGTTTTGGAATGGGGATGTGAGAGGCAGGGGGATGTGGGGTTTGGGATGGGGATGTGAGGGGCAGGGGATGTGGGATTTGGAATGGGGATGTGAGGTTTGGGATAGGGATGTGGGGTTTGGGTGTGGGATGTGAGGTGCAGGGGGATGTGGGATGGGGATATGGGGTTTGGGGATGTGAGGTTTGGTGTGGGATGTGAGGTGCAGGGGGATGTGGGATGTATTTGCAAGGACCAGTGGGTCCGGGATGTGTTTATGGGCGGGATGTGGGATTTGGACAAGAGTGAGCAGCAGGATGGGAGACATGGAGGCAAAGAGGCAGGGCTGGGAACTGGGGTGGGATACAGGAGGTGGATGTGGGGGAATGTGGAGGGGAGTGGGGTGTGGGGCTGGAGGGAGGTGGGCAGTGGGGTTTGGAGGGCAGTGGGCAGTGGACAGTGGGTAGAGGGCAGTGGGTGTGGGTGTGGGAGGCCTGGAGCAGCAGTGGGGTTGGAAGGGAGTGAGCAGTGGGGCAGTGGGCAGTGGGGCTGGAGGGCAGAGGGCAGTGGGGCAGTGTGTGTGGGTGGCCTGGAGCAGCAGTGGGATGTGGGATGTGGGATGTGGGATTTGGGATGCGGGCAGGACGGGCTGCAGGGCCCCCCCGCTCCCCTCCCGGGCCCCGGCGGAGCTGCCTCAGCACTCGGCAGCAGCTGGGGCCTGGCTCTGCCGCCTGATGCGGCCGGTGATTAATGACCGTTAATTAGCGCCGTTAATCGAGCCGGGCAAGCGCTGCCGGCGAGGGGATAGACAGGCCCCGTGCGGGGGGCACTCGAGGAGAGGCTGCGATGCCTCCCCCTGCCCTGCAGAGCTCCGGAGGGGGCTGCGGGATCCAGCTCCATCCCAAGCAAGCGGCGAAGGGCCGGGATGTGGCCGTGTGGGACAATCCCTGGCTGTGTCACTGCCAGAGCCAGCAGCTGTCAGGAAACCTCTCCTGACCGGGAAATGCTTCCCCTGCCCCGGGATGGCCACGGGGATGGGAGGGTGGGGAAGGGCTTGGACCAGAGGGATGGAAAAATGCTGGGAAAAGCACAAGGATTTGTTGGATTATGCCCTTTTCTGACCCAGAGATGGGGTAACTGAAAGGCTTTTAAAAAAACTTTTATTCTATTTTCAGTCTCATGTGAAGGGTGAGAGAATTCTATACAAATTCTGAATTCTCACCTTGGAGAATTCTCCACAAATCCATTTCCCACATTGGCTGAGCAGCATTGCCCTTCCCAGGACATTCAGGAGGATGATCCTGAGGGGTGGCAGTCTGAGCCACTGTCACCCATGGCGGGTTGGGGGTTGGATTCATCCCTAGGGAAGCACTTTTGGGGTGCAATGGGGATTATAGCAAAGGGACAGAGTGGCTGTTGCACCCCAAGGTGCCTCTGTGCCCCAATCCCTGCGGGATGCCGGGCTGGAAGCTGGACACAGGGATGTCTGAAGGTGCCCCTAGTGGTGTCACCCCCCCTGTTTGTGTCCCCAGGGACCATGCGCCCCGTCCGCAGGAACTTCTACGACCCCTCCTCAGCTCCGGGGAAGGGAATCGTGTGGGAGTGGGAGAACGACAACAACTCCTGGACCCCCTACGACATGGACATCTGCATCACCATCCAGAACGCCTACGAGAAGCAGCACCCCTGGCTGGACCTCTCCTCCCTGGGCTTCTGCTACCTCATCTACTTCAGCAGCATGTCCCAAATGAACCGGCAGACGCAGCGCAAGCGGCGGCTGCGGCGCCGCATGGACCTGGCCTACCCGCTCACCATGGGCTCCATCCCCAAATCCCAGTCCTGGCCGGTGGGCGCCAGCACGGGCACCCCGTCCTGCTCGTGCCCCCAGTGCCTGCTGGTCAACAGCACCCGCGCCGCCTCCAACGCCATCCTGGCGTCCCAGCGCCGCAAGCTCTACCCGGGCGCCGTCCGCCAGAGCAGCACCTTCGCCGGGGCAGCGCTGTGGCCGGCGGGGACCGTGACACCGGCGGTGGTGGCGGCCAAGGGGGAAGGGCTGCGGGTGTCCGGAGCGGGGTTCGGCCCCGGGCAGGGCGTGTCCAGCGCGGCGCTGCCCGGTCTCAACAACCTCAACCGGCCCGGGACGCAGCGCGGGGCTGGGCTGGGCGCCAGGGCTGCTGTGCCCCCGGGGTAAGATGGGAGGGGAGGGGACAGGCGGGTGTCACCGAGGCGGGGATGGGCACACAGAGGGACAAAGGGGGTGATGGGGGTGGCTCGGACCCTGCTGTCCCCTTGCAGGCAGCCCCAGCTCTTGTGGCAGTGCGTCACCTCCAGCCCTGGGGTCCCCACCCTGGGTGGTGCTGGTGGTGCTTGGATCCCTGCAGAGGGGATGTGGTGATCTGTGCCGTGCTGTGCCAGGCCGTGCCATGCTATGCATGGCAGCTGGAGCACATGGAGTGCCTGGTCCCAGGGGAATGCTGTCCCCAAGGCCAGCATGGGATGTGCTGGTCCGTGCCATGCTGTGCCAGGCTGTGCCATGCTATCAATAGCAGCTGGAGCACAGGGAGTGCCTGGTCCCAGGGGAACGCTGTCCCCAAGGCCAGCATGGGCTGTGTGACCCAGCTCCTGTGGCACTGTGTCACCTCCCTGGGTGGTGGGACGGTCACCCGGATGGTCCTGGTGGTGCTTGGATCCCTGCAGAGGGGATGTGCTGATCCGTGCCATGCTGTGCCAGGCTGTGCCACACTATCCATGGCAGCTGGAGCACAGGGAGTGCCTGGTCCCAGGGGAATGGTGTCCCCAAGGCCAGCATGGGCTGTGTGACCCAGCTCCTGGCCCGATGCCACCAGGCAGATCCCTGGGAGGGCACAGCTGTGGGGAGGGGCCACAGCCCCGGTGTCACTCCTGTGCTGATCCACCAGGGGGTCCAGGTGGGCGAGCAGACCCCTGGAATTGTGTCCCGGTGGGTGTCCCTGTCCCTGTCCTGGCACCCACATCTCCATGGCTGTGCCCCATGGTGGGTTGGCCTGGTGTCCCCTCGGGGCTGGCAGGGGGGACAGGTGGCTTCTCTGAGCCCCCAGCAGCTCCTGGCACATTTCCTTCCCCTACTGGCGTCCTGCTTTCACTTCTGTGTGCTGGGCTGAGCAGTCCTTGTCCCTGTCCCCATCGCTGTCCCTGTCCTGGCACCCACCTATGGACAGGGAAGAGGGGCTGGGCCTTGGTGTGGGTACAGGAGCTTTGGGAATGAGGGAAACGCCCTCGTGTGGGGCTGAGCACTGCTGAACTCATCCCTGTGATCTTCCCTTCCCTTCCCTTCCCTTCCCTTCCCTTCCCTTCCCTTCCCTTCCCTTCCCTTCCCTTCCCTTCCCTTCCCTTCCCTTCCCTTCCCTTCCCTTCCCTTCCCTTCCCTTCCCTTCCCTTCCCTTCCCACTGCCCTGGGCACGGTGCCACCGGTGCCACCTGCTGCTGCCACCCAGCAGGGTGGGGGTCCCTGGGGGGACACGAGTGGTGGCACATCCCCGCGGGGGGTGGGGGACACGGGTGTCACCATCGGGATGCCCTGACAAGGTCTCCACCCTGGGTTGAGGGGGACCGTGATGCCAGCAGTGACATTGGGTGCCCAGAGATGGGCAGGTGGCACTGGGTGACAGTTCCCTGGGATGGGACAGCAGCCCTCCAAGCTGGGGAGGGGACACCTTGCCCTGTGTCCCGTGGGCAGGACACTGCCTGGTGACAGTGCCAGCAGCCCCCAGCGGACACTGCCCCGTGTCCCGTGGGGAGGACACTGTCTGGGCCATGCCGTGTGGGGAGGGGACAGTGCCAGCCCTGCCAGCCCTGCTGAGCCCCTTCCTGTCCCGTGTCCGTGCAGGGTCCCAGCGCTGCCGGTGAAGAACCTGAACGGCACCGGCCCCGTCCATCCCGCGCTCGCAGGTAAGCGCCGGGTGTCCCCCGGGGTGACAGCGCGGGCGGGGAGCGGGGCACGCTGCCAGGGGGTGGGCAGGACGGACAGACGGACAGCCAGGCGCTCTCCCGGCGCAGGGATGACGGGGATCCTCATGTGCGCCGCCGGGCTGCCCGTGTGCCTGACCCGCGCCCCCAAACCCATCCTGCACCCCCCGCCCGTCAGCAAGAGCGACATCAAACCCGTCCCCGGCGTCAACGGCATCTGCAGGAAAACCAAAAAGAAGCAGCTCAAGAAGAGTAAGGAGCCCCCGATGTCCCTGCGGGGTCAGGGGACACGGAGGGGGAAGTGAGGCAGCCCCGGGGTTTGCGGGGGTGATGTCGCTGCTTTGTCACGCGTGTCCCCGCCGTGCTGGCGGGGGTGGCAGGGCCAGGTGGCACCGCGGGCAGGTTCTGATGGCATCGCCCTCAGGTAAAACCCCCGAGGACGTGGTGCGCCGCTACATCCAGAAGGTGAAGAACCCCCCGGACGAGGTGAGTGGGGGGCTCGGGCAGGGCCGGGGGTGAGCCCTCATCATCCCCCGGGTGCTGATGCCGCTGCCGGCAGGACTGCACCATCTGCATGGAGCGCCTGGTCACCTCCTCCGGCTACGAGGGCGTGCTGAGCCCCAGGGGCATCAAGCCGGAGCTGGTGGGCAAGCTGGGCAAGTGCGGGCACATGTACCACCTGCTGTGCCTGCTGGCCATGTACAACAACGGCAACAAGGTCAGAGCCCCCCCCCCGGGGCGGGCTGCGCTCGGGGGGCTCGGTGGGTGCTGGGTGGGTGTTGGGTGGGTGCTGGGGGCGTGTTGGAGGATGCTGGGTGGGTGTTGGAGGGAGCTGAGGGGCTCCAGGTGGGTGTTGGGTGGGTGCTGGGGAGTGTTGAGTGGGTTCTGGGTGGGTACTGGGTGTTGGGGAGTGCTGGGAGGATCCATGTGGATGCTGGGGTGTCCAGGTGGGTGCTGGGTGGGTGCTGGGGGGATCCGCAGGGGTGCTGGAGGGTCCAGGTGGTGCTGGGTAGGTGTTGGGGAGTTCTGGGTGGGTACTGGGTGTTGGGGGAGTGCTGGGTGGGTGCTGGGTGGGTGTTGGGTGAATGCTGGGGGGTCCAGGTGGATGCTGGGTGGGTCCAAGTGGGTGTTGGGTGTGTGCTGGGGGGTCCAGGTGGGTGCTGGGCAGTTCCAGGTGGGTGCTGAGGGGTGCTGGGTGGGTGTTGGGTGAGTGCTGGGTGGGTCTCAGGGGTTCTGGGTGGGTGTTGGAGGGGGCTGGGGGGTTGTTGGGTGGGTACGGGGGAGTGTTGAGTGGGTTCTGGGTGGGTACTGGGTGTTGGGGAGTCCTAGGGGGATCCAGGTGGGTGCTGGGGAGGTCCAGGTGGGTGCTGAGGGGTGCTGGGTGGGTGTTGAGTGGGTGTCAGGGGTGCTGGGTGGGTGTTGGAGGGAGCTGAGGGATTCCAGGTGGGTGTTGGGTGGGTGCTGGGGGGATCCAGGTGGGTGCTGGGTGGGTGTGAGGGCTTCTGGGTGGGTGCTGGGGAGTTCTGGAATGTTCCAGCTAAGTGCTGGCTAGGTGCTGGGTGGGTTTGGGGGGTTGAGTGGGTGCTGGAGTGGGTGTGGGCATTGGGTGGGTGATGGGTGGGTGTTGGGTGAGTGCTGGGGGGTCCAGGTGGGTGTTGGAGGGGGCTGGGGAGTTCCAGGTGGGTGGGTAATGGGTGTTGGGGAGTGCTGGGGAATCCAGGTGGGTGCTGAGTAGATGTGAGGGCTTCTGAGCAGGTGCTGGGGAGTTCTGGAATGTTCCAGCTAAGTGCTGGCTGGGTGCTGGGTGGGTTTGGGGAGGTTGAGTGGGTGTTGGAGTGAGTGTGGGCATTGGGTGGGTGATCGGTGCGGTCCTGCTGGGGGCAGGGGTGGGTGTTGGGGAGTTCTGGGTGGGTGCTGGGTGTTGGGTTGGTGCTGGGGGGCCCAGGTGGGTGCTGGAGAGTCCAGGTGGGTGCTGAGTGGGAGTTAGGGGGTGCTGGGGGGTCCAGGTGGGTGTTGGGTGGGTGCTGAGCAGTTCCAAGTGGGTGCTGGGGGGTCCGGGTGCTGCTGGGTGAGTGCTAGGGGGTCCAGGTGAGTGTTGGGTGGGCATTGGCTGAATGCTGGGGGGATCCAAGGTGGGGGGATCCAGGTGGGTGCTGGGTGGTCCAGGTGGGTGCTGGGTGGTCCAGGTGTTGCTGGGTGGGTGCTGGGTGGGTGCTGAGGGATCCAGTTGGGTATTGGGGAGTGCTGGGGGGTCCAGGTGGGTGCTGGGTGGGTGCCACCCCTGAGGCCCCCGCGGTGCCCCCAGGACGGGAGCCTGCAGTGCCCCACCTGTAAGGCCATTTACGGGGAGAAGACGGGCACACAGCCCCCCGGGAAGATGGAGTTCCACCTCATCCCCCACTCCCTCCCGGGATACACCGACTCCAAAACCATCCGGATCGTCTACGACATCCCCACCGGCATCCAGGTGAGGGAGACACCCCGGTGGGGTGGTGACCCTGCCCCGTGTCCCCGTGTCCCTGTGTCCCCGTGTCCCTGCTCACCTCCTGTCCCCACACCCACCCAGGGCCCGGAGCATCCCAACCCCGGCAAGAAATTCACGGCACGAGGCTTCCCACGGCACTGCTACCTGCCCGACAACGAGAAGGGCAGGAAGGTGAGACTGGGGTGGGGTGGGATGGGATCCATGGGATGGGATGGGATGGGATGGGATCCATGGGGTGGGATGGGATCCATGGGATGGGATGGGATGGGATGGGATCCATGGGATGGGATGGGATGGGATGGGATGGGATGGGATGGGAGGGGATGGGATCCATGGGATGGGATGGGATGGGATGGGATGGGATGGGATGGGATGGGATGGGATGGGATGAGAAGAGAAAGATTGGAATGAGATGGAAAGAGAAGGAATGGGGAGAATAGAATGGGAAGGGATGGGATGGGATGGAAGAATGGATGGGATGGAAAGGAATGGGATGGGGTGGGATGGGATGGGGTGGGAGGTATGGGATGGGAAGAAAAAGAATAGCAGGGATGGAATGAGATAGGATGGCACAAAATGGGAAGTGATGGGGTGGAAGGAGGATGAATGGGATGGGGAGTGGGATGGGGTGGGGAAGGGAAGGTATGGGATGGGATGGGAACAGAAAGAATGGGGAGAATAGAATGGGAAGGGATGGGGTGCGAGGAAAGGAGAATGGATTGGATGGGAAGGAATGGGAGAGGGTGAGGAAGAAAAGGGATGGGATGGGATGGGATGGGATGGGATGGGATGGGATGGGATGGGATGGGGAGGCTGCAGATGCACTGGGATGGGATGGGGGGGTACCACAAGGAAAGGTGGCATCCTGTGGGCACCGTGCTGAATCCCACCCTGGGGGGGCTGAGGCTGTGCTGTGCTGGGGTTGCTGTGGGGCTGTGCCAGTCCCTGCCAGGCTGGGTGGGGATGCCCGGTGGCTGTGCCAGTCCATGCCAGGCCGTGCCAGGGGTGCTGGGTGGGCGAGCCATGGCCGTGCCCGCCGCAGGTGCTGAAGCTGCTGATCGTGGCCTGGGACCGGCGGCTCATCTTCACCATCGGCACCTCCAACACCACGGGCGAGTCGGACACGGTGGTGTGGAACGAGATCCACCACAAGACCGAGTTCGGCTCCAACCTGACGGGGCACGGCTACCCCGACCCCAACTACCTGGACAACGTGCTGGCCGAGCTGCTGGCCCAGGGCGTGTCCGAGGCCACCCTGAAGGACTGAGGCCGGGCTCGGGGCTGCCCCGGCCCCCGTGCCCAGCCCGTGCCGCCGCCGCCTGCGCCGCTTCACCGCAGCCCCGCCCGGCGGGCTCGTTCCCCGTCCCGGGCCACCCGGTGCCACCCACCGCGTGTCCCCGTGTGCGTCTGTCTGTCTGTCTGTCTGTCTGTCTGTCCGCCCGTCCCGGCTCGCCCCGCTCTCGTGGCGATAGCGTCGTGGTCTTTTTCTACCCGTGGCCTCTTTGCGCGTCTGTGCCACCCGTGTCACCCGTGCCACCCGTGTCGCCCGCCGCTGCCCCAGGAGCCGCGCACAGCCGGTGCCATGTACGTCTCTGTGTTACGGAATACACCCCGTGCCGGGCTGCTGGCCCCGCGTCCCCTCTGTGCCCCGCCCGGGCTGGGCCGAGGGGGGGACGCTGGGGACAGGGAGGGGACTTGGGGGTGGCTCTGGGGTCTCGTCGCGGCGGGCGAAGGCGTCGTGGGCGATGTCCAGGTCTCGCAGCACCTCCTGCAGCCTGTCCCCAGCGGGTCCCGCTGCACCCCAGGGTGGGGTCAGGGCCACCTGCGGCACCCACCCGCACCTGGCACCCACCCGCGGGCATTTCCTCCCCACAGCCCCGCATCCACCCCCGACACCCATCCGTGGTGTCCCCACAGCCCCTCCCGGTGCCCCTGTCCCGTGCCCCACCACCCGCCAGCCCCCCGGACTGCGTGTGTCCCCGTGTCCCCGTGTCCCCGTGTCCCCTGTCCCCTGTCCGCGAGTATCTGCTGTCCCCTCGTGGAGGGAGCCGGAGCAGTGCCAGCCAGAGCTCTGCCAGCCTGTGCCAGCCCCCACCCCGGGTCCCCATGTCCCCCTAGTGCCCCCGGGGCTCCCGTACCTGCCTGGCCCGGGCAGGGGGGCCCGGCCACCGCGCTGCCCTCGGGACCCCCGGCCAGCGCTGCCCTGCAGGACAGGGACCCTCAGGACACCCTCCCTGCCCTCCAGCACTCAAGGGACCCCGGGACAGGGACCCTCAGGACACCCTCCCTGCCCTCCAGCACTCAAAGGACCCCGGGACAGGGACCCTCAGGACACCCCCCCGCCCTCCAGCACCCAAAGGACCCCGGGACCCCCAGCCCCCACCGTGCTGGGGGACAGGGACCTCAGGACACTCCCACCCTGCCCACTGGCACCTAAATGCCCCTCGGACCCCTGTGCCACCCTCTGGACCCCTGGTCGCCACCACCCTGCAGGAAGGGACCCTCAGCGGGGTCCCACCATGCCTGTCAGCACCCAAAGGACCCCGTGACCCCGACTCCCACTCTCCTTGGGGACAAGGACCCTCCGCATGCTGCCACTCTGCCCACCACCCCCTAAAGGACCCTCAGGCCCCCATATTCACCCTCAGGACCCCCAATCCCCACCAGCCTGTGGGACAGGGACCCTCAGCAGCATCCCACCCTGCCCACCAGCACCCAAAAGTGCTCCCCTGTGCCCGGGCTCACCGCAGGTGCCCATAGAGGCTCTGTGCTGCCACCGCGGGGTCCCTGAGGTCGCTCCATTCCCCCAGCACCACGGCGCCGTGGGCACGGCTGCACCCGGGCACTGCCAAGCACCGCAGTGGGGACACGGCGACACCCACACCCCCCTGGCGGGCACCCCCAGCCCAGGGCACCCCCGGTCCTACCGGCACGGGTGGGCTGCAGGCAGCAGGTCCAGCGGCTGGCGCGGAAGGTGCCGGGGTGGAACGTTGGCAGCATGTCCCTGTTGGCACTGGTGGCCTGGCGCAGCGCCCACAGCCACTGCCACAGCTCCATGGCACTCTGAGGGGACAGCAGGGACGGGGACACCCCCGAGGGCACTGCCAGGGCAGGGGGAGAGGAGGAGGAGGGAGGAGGAAGGGATGGGCACCAGGGATGGGGGACAGGAGTGATGGTTTGGTGGCCCGGTAGGAGGTGAGGGAGATGGGGCTGCAGGAGCCAGGGTACCCCAGTGACCCCAGTACAGCCAGGGTAGGACAGCCCAGCTTCCCAGTATACCCAGTTAGCCCCTGGACCTCAGTACTCCCAGTGCTCCCAGTACAGCCTGGGCACAGCTGGATTTGGGACCGTTCCCATCGTCCCATGACTGGTGCAGGGGAAGGTGGGGGGCAAGGGTGTGGTGGTGGGGGGGGTTCCTGGGGTTGTTGGGGTGCTGGGGCAGGGTGGGCTCACCCACCTTGCACTGGAGGTAGGTGGTGTGGAGCTGCCCGGTGCCATCCTGTGCCACCACCTGCAGCACGTGGGGGTGCTGGAAGGTGCCCCTGTCCACCTGCTCCACTGCCCGGATCTGCTCCACTGGGATGGAGCCAAGCACCTGGGGAGCCCCAAACACCCCAAAATCTCTGCCCATGTCCATATCCATGACCCATATCTATGGAAAACTTGTGGAACCCCAAACACCCCAAAATCTGTGCCCATGTCCATATCCATTACTCATATCCATAGAAAACCTGGGGACACCCAAACACCCCAAAATCTCTGCCCATGTCCATATCCATTACTCATATCCATGGAAAACCTGGGGAACCCCAAACACCCCAAAATCTGTGCCCATGTCCATATCCATTACTCATATCCATGGAAAACCTGGGGACCCCCAAACACCCCAAAATCTCTGCCCATGTCCATATCCATGGAAAACCTGGGGACCCCCAAACACCCCAAAATCTCTGCCCATGTCCATATCCATGACCCATATCCATGGAAAACCTGGGGGACTCCCAAACACCCCAAAATCTGTGCACCCACATCCATATCACCCACCTGTTCACCTGGGATGGAGCAGTGTACGTGGATACCCCAAAACACCCCAAAATCTCTGCCCATGTCCATATCCATGACCCATATCCATGGAAAACTCAGGGACCCCCAAAACACCCCAAAATCTGTGCCCATGTCCATATCCATTACTCATATCCATGGAAAACCTGGGGACCCTCAAACACCCCAAAATCTGTGCACCCACATCCATATCCCCCACTCACTCCACAGGGATGCAGCACCATCTCTGGGGACCCCAAAACACCCCAAAATCTGTGCCCATGTCCTTCCCCCCAGCTCTGGGCACCCTGCACAGGGTGGGGGTCCAGGGCAGCACCCACCTGCCCCTGGGGCACCTTGGCATAGGCCAGGGCCTGGGTGCTGAGCCTGAAGTGCCTCTTCTTGAAGGCGAAGCGGGGCAGCAGTGCCTCCCCCAGCTCTGGGCAGGTGTGCAGGGGACCCTCCTTGATGGTGGCCGAGGGCTGGCAATGTCCCTGTGGCACTGGCACCTCGCCCACTGCAGCCGTCACAGGGAGGGAGCGGTGTCACCTCAAGTGCCACCACCTCCCATGGCCCGAGGGTGCTCCTGGCAGCACCAGGGTGGTGCCACTGACCTGGCACCAGCAATGTCCCCTCCCTGCCCCGTGTCCCCGCTCACCCACGGTGACCAGTGCATCCAGGAAGGCCCGGACACGGGTGACACTGGGCAGGAGGACGGCATTCAGCGGGGCCATCCACGGCTCCTTGCCCTGCCCCAGCTGCAGCCCCAGGTTCCCGATGCTCTGCAGAGCCTGTCCCACGCAGGGAAGGGGTCACACTGCTGTGTCCCTGCTGGTGTCACCCCCTGGGCCACCCTGGCTGCTCCCCCGGACCCCGAGGGCTCAGGGTTGGGGAAAGTGGAGCAGCTGGAGGGGTGATGGGACCCAAGTTCTGCCCCTGTGCTGTGCCCAGCTTGTGGTGGCACAGCCTGGGGACAGGCAGGACTGGCCTCAAGTGGTAAAGGAGGGAGCCAGTCCATGGTTTGTGGCACAGGGACAGGAATGGCTCTGCTGTGCTTGGGGTCCCCATCATTCCCTGGGGTTTCTGCCCCTCCTCAGGGTCTCTTGCTTTTCTGGCATCCCCATTCCTTGTGGGTTCCCACCTCTCCACAGGGTCCACATCCCTCACAGAAGTCTCTGTCCTCCCTGGGGTTTCTCTCTGAAGTCCCAAACCCTCCCTGGGCTCCTCAGCCCTCCCCACAATCCTTGTCTCTCCCAGTGGTCCCCATCCCTCTGCAGGTCCCTCACCCACCCCAAGGGTCCCCGTTAATCCCCAAGGATCCCCATCCCTCTCCAAGGGTTCCCATCCCTCCCTGGAGTTCACATCCCTCCTCAAGATCCCCGTCCATCCCTAAGGATCCACATCCTTCCCCATCCCTCCCCAACCTTCTCCTTCTGTTCTCATCCCTCCCCAGTGTCTCCATCCCTTCCCAGGGTCGTTATCCATTCCCAGGCTTCCTATTCCTCCCCAGGGTCCTCATCCCACCTCAGGTCCCCCATCCTTCACAAGGATCCCCACCTCTCCCCAATGTCCCCATCCCTCTCCAAGGTCCCCATCCCTCCCTGGTGTCACCATCCCTCTCCAAGGATCCCCATCCCTTCCCAAGGGTCCCCATCTCTTCCCAAGGGTCCCCATCCCTCCCTGGTGTCACCATCCCTCTCCAAGGATCCCCATCCCTTCCCAAGGGTCCCCATCTCTTCCCAAGGGTCCCCATCCCTCCCTGGTGTTCCCATCCCTCTCCAAGGATCCCCATCCCTCTCCAAGGTCCCCATCCCTCCCTGGTTGTCCCCATCCCTCTCTAATGTCCCCATGCTTCCCAAGGGTCCCCACCTCTCCCTGGTGTCCCCACCCCTCCATGGTGTCCCCGTGCTGTCCCCACCTTGGCGAGCAGCAGGAGCGTGCGGCCGGTGCCGGGCTCCGCATGCTGCTCCCGCAGCCCGAAGAGCTTCGGGGTGAGCACAGCAGGAGCGAAGAAGCGAAGGAAGAGGAACCCACTGATGGAGAAGTACCGCACCTCCTGGAGGGGGACAGGGACAGCTCGGGGGACAGGGACAGCTCGGGGGACAGGCACAGCTCGGGGGACAGGCACAGCTCTGAGCTTGGCGTGGTGCTCCTGGGGCTGTGCAGACCCCCAGCCCCGCCGCGGGCCCCACCTCGTGCTGTGCCGAGGGGAATGGCTGCTTCACCCGCCTGCGGAGCTGCTGGAATGCCACCCGCATGGGGAGGGGACACTTGTCCACCGAGCCCACGATGGCATCGAGGATGTCCCCCAGGTAGCCCTTCAGCAGCTCCAGGCTGCTCTCCCGCACCTGCACCTCCGACAGGGACCCCTTGAGGGAGATCCTCCTGTGGGGACACCTCTGGGTCAGGGACACTGGAAACGGGGCACTGAGCTGCCAGACCCATGGACTCAGCAGCAATAGGTGGCACCTTCCTGCAGGGGACACAGGGACATGCCAGGTTCCCTGTGCCACTCCCAGACGTCCACCTGTGCCCACCTGCCCCGGCTCAGCTCCATCTTGCCAGGGTCCAGCTCCACATATTTCTTCTCCTCAAAGATGCGGTTCACCACCGGCTTCAGGACCTCGTGCAGGTAGTGCAGCCCCACCGCCTGCAAGGGGTGGGAAGGCACTGTCCTTGTCCCCAGATGCCCTGCTGGGACAGCAGGGAGGTGTCCCTTCCCATGCTCACCTTCATGAACTGCTCCATGGATTTGGAGGCCAGCGAGTTGGAGCGGAAGAGGGTGTTGGGATCAGCTGGAAGAGCACAGAGGCTGTGGCAAGGTGGGCACAGGGCGATGTCCCAGCTGTCCCTGGTGTGCCCAGCCCCAGGGACACGTGGCACCTTTCCTGCCTCTCCCTTGGTGTCCTCACTCTTTCTCCATGGGGATCTGGAGCAACCCTGGCTTGGGGTTTCTTAGGGTGGCCCTGGGCACTTACTGGTCCTGGCCAGCTCGCGGCTGGTGAGGTAGTCCAGGAGGGGCACAGCCAGCCCTTGGCCCAAGAAGAGCTTCACCAACTTGGTGGCCACGTCCTGCCTGCTCTCCCCTGAGGTCACCTCCTCCAGGACTGCTAGGGCTGTGCCCTCGGGGTTCTGTGGGGAGGGCAGGGTGGGCACAGCAGGGCCTCCACACTGGGGTGGCCACCCCAAAGTTCCCCACAGCCCCAGCACCCACCTGGGCTGGGTAGAGGATGGGCTCGGTGAGGAGCTGGATGAGGGGCTGGTAGTGGTGGGAGGGCAGGACCGTGTCCTCCAGCAGCCTCACTGCCAGCCTCAGGGCACCCAGCTGTCCCCTGCAATGACACAGGGGCTCATGTGGGTCCTGTGCTCTCCCTGGGGGCCACCTCGTGCTGCCCTGGTCACAACCCCCTGTCCCCTCTGCCTGCACTCACCCGTGGTCCTCGGTGGTGCTGGGGAAGGGCAGGAGATGGAACCAGCCCCTGGTGGGGCCTGGGCAGAGGGTGTCCAAGAAGAACTCGACCTGGGGGACAGAGGCAGGGTCTGGATGGGTGAGGGGACATGTGCCAGTCCCCTGTGCTGCACCTCCCTTGGGTGACAGCCCAGGACATGCAGGGTCTGCATGGGTGAGGGGACATGTGCCAGTCCCCTGTGCTGCACCTCCCTTGGGTGACAGCCCAGGACATGCAGGGTCTGCATGTGGCACTGCCCCCATCCCGGTGGGTCCTAACCTGTGGTCACCCAGACCCCGCACAGGGGGGTGCAGAGGTGCCCCCAGGCCCCATTTTGGTGTGGCCCGAGGTCCTCACCCGCCCCAGGAAGTCGTTCTTGCCCACGATGTCCCAGTCCCAAAGCTCCACGCTCAGCACAGCCTCTCCCAGCTCCCCCTCTGGCAGCTCGAACTCCAGCACCTCATCCCAGCGCGGGAACCGCGTTTTCTTCACCACCTGCGGGGCACCGGGACTGGTGGCCGAGGTGCCCGACGGTGCCCGAGGGTGCCCGACGGTGCTCGAGGCTCTGGGTCCGTAGGGGACGGGGTGCCACACTCAGCACCCAGCACTGACTCACGGCTGTCTCCAGCGTGTGCCCGCAGCACGACACCCGGCCAAAGGGGTCCGAGGTGCCCGAGGCGTCCCGGGGGGCCAGGTCCCTGTGAGGACGTGGGGTCAGCAGGGTTTGTCCCCATCCTCACGGTCCCTGCAGCCCCACGTTCCCGCTTTGTGCCAGCTCGCCTGGGCATACGGGGCAGCCAGCAGGAGCCAGGGGATGCTGGGGGGATCGTGTCCCCATTTCCAGGGAGCCCTTCCTCCTCCAGTCCCTAGTGGGGCTGATGCCGTCCCTCCTGGCTGTCCCCATGGCCACCCTGTCCCCATGGCCATCCTGTTGCCTTGGTAGCCGCTTTGGTTGCCATGGCAGCGGGATGCTGCCTCTGCTGGCTGCTCCATCTGTCAGCTGTGTGTGCGTGTGTCACCGTGTGTGTGTGTCACCGTGCGTGTGCCCCTATGCACGCTCACACGCGTGCACACACTTGTGCACGCATCTGCACCCCCAAACCCAGACGGGCAGCCTGGGCAGTGCCTCAGTTTCCCCAGATTTTGAAACCAAAGGGCAAACACACTGCGTGAGAGCCAACCATTCTGCTGGGGACAAACCCTGGTGCTCCTGTGTCCCTGTCCCCAAGCAGGGATGGCAGCACACTTCCCACTGAGCCCCCATGGCATTGTCACACGTGGGTTGGCACCGCTGATGTCCCCAGCCTGGCGCAGCGAGGACCATTCCGAGTGTGGAAAGGGGAGGACAAACGCTGTGTCACCACTGTTCCCATCCCCTCCTCTCCTCCTTCCTGTCAAAAATAAGACCCCGTGGTGGTGGCAGCCCCCCGGAGCTGCCAGCCCCCCACCTGGCCTCGATGAGGTGGCAGCGCAGCACCCGTGGGTGGCCCCGCTCAGGGACCTGCAGCTCCAGGTGGATCTCACCCTGCACCTCCTGGTCGGGGCTCACAGGTGCCAGGCTGAGCCAGCTGTCAATGCCTGCCGAGGGGGACAGCGTGGGCACCCCATGGTGCCAGCTTGGGTCCCGCTGTCCCCCACCCCACTGTGCCCCCCCTCACCCCGTGGCTCGGCCGAGATCTGCTGGTGGCTGAGTGACACCTTGCCAATGACATCGTCCTGCCTGTGAGGAACAGACACAGCAGGACACTGCTGGGGACCTGCCACCCCTCGGGGGGTCCCCAGCGCCCGCCCTGCCCATGCTGTCCCCCTACCCAATGGTGTCTTCATCCAGCACGTTGATGGCGAGGCTGTGGAATCCACGGGGCAGAAGCAGTGTGATTTCCTCACCCCAAAAAGGGTTCAGGCTCTTCCACACGGTGGCTGTCCTGCCGGGATGGCAGAGGTGGCTGTGTCCCCAGGGAGCATCCCCCACTCCTGTGTGTCCCCTCCCAGTGTGGGACAGTGTCCCCGTACCTGGCCACCACCTCATTGTCCACCTTGACCACGCAGTAGGGATCGCTGGAGCCGGACCTGGGCAGGGGATGGGGGTGCCCAGGGTCAGCCCCCACTCGGGAATCCCCCCCATCCTGGGGGCCTCAGACCCCAGCAGTGAGGCACCAGCCCTGGGGTGAGCTGAGCTGCCCGGTCTGAGCCTGGCCCTGCTGACACCGGGATGGGGACATCCCCTTTCTCCTTGAGCTGAGGGACCTGCTGGGGGTCATCCCGAGCCATCGCAGTGTCCCTGTGCCACCCACCCGTGGGTACCACTGTCTGTCCAGCAGCACAGCCCAGCCCGAGTCTCTGTGACACCCACGGTGCCACGGTGCCACCGGTCTGGCCCTTTCCACCGGGAGAACAGGATGGAGGGATGAGGGACGGATCCAGGGGCCATCCACCCGCTCCCTGCAAAGCCCCTTTCTGCTGGGTAATGGCAGCTGGAGCAGCAGCGAGGGGTGCCGGCCCTGGGGCGCTGCTGGAGCCCCAAATCCCCAGGAGGTGCTTCCACAAGGACTGAGACCTCGAGATGGATGAGGGACGAGACTCCAGTCTCTGTCCCTGCCGTAGGACGGGAAGTGGGAGTGGCTCCCCCCGACCCCCTCTGCAGCCCCACCACAGCCCCAGGCTGGGTTTGGGGACGCTGGGAGCAGCACCGGGCACCCCAGCATTGTGCAGATCGCCTGCTCTGCCCAGCCCCCCGCAGTGGGGCACCCCCCGGCGGCAGAACCCCCCGAGGCAGGGACACGGCCCCGTTCCCGGCTGCCCGGCCCTGGGAGCGGCCGGTGGTGCCAAGCTGGCACATACGGAGGTGCCCGGGACTGCCAGCTCCGCTGAGCCGTGTCCCCGGGGCAGGAGCGGGCGGGGGCTGTGCCCCCCCCAGTGTCACCCCCAGGTTTTGGGGGATCCTCTGTGCCCACCCTGCTGGGGGGCACGAAAAGGGTGGTGAAGGGGTTGGGGGGCTCATACACCCCTGGGGGATGGGGGAGGGCTGGCAGTGCCTGCACACCCCAGACCCCCACTTTGGGGGTAATGGGGGCAAGAAGAGACCCCCAAAATTGTACGAAGAGAACACCCAGGGAGGGCAGAGCACCCAGCGCCCCCTCCCCGCCACATCTCCCGGGGTGGGTCTGGGGGAAATAGTGGGCCCTGAGCCCCCCGAGCCACTCACAGGTCCTTGGCGGGCAGGTCCTTCCCCTCCAGCACCCGGCAGCGCAGCCAGGCGGTTTTGGCCATGCCGGCGAGGGGAGGGCACCTGGCGGGCTGCGATGGGTGCCCGGGGATGCCCTGAGCCCCCGCAAAGCCCCACGGGGCTGCCGGCACCTCCTCCTCCTCCTCCTCCTCCTCCTCCGCCGCCGCTTCTCACCGCCGCTTCTTCCTCTTTCCTCTCCTCGGTGTTTTCGCGGCCGCTTCGCTCCCACCTGCGCCAGGCGGGCACAGGGCGGAGGGCGAGCGCGGGGGAGGTGGCACCGTGCCCACCGGGAGGGTCCCACTGCCAGCCAGCGAGCAGACAGCAAAGCCACCCTCCGTCCTAGAGGCGGGGAAACTGAGGCACGGGGGCACGGCAGAGCGGTGGCACCTGTGTTGAGGGGCTTCTGTCATGTCACAAGGGGTGGGTGTCCCCCCAGGGTGGGGGGCTCGGTCTGGACCCCAAAGTGCCAAAGTAGGGGGGGGGAATGGGTGAACACTGGACTTGGGTAGGAGGGGAGGAAGGAGGTGCATGGGACCCCCAAGGGACCTCGGGGTGACCCCAGCCCTCAGAGGGGACACCCTGAGCCAAACTGGGGGGACTCCTGCAGGTCTTGGGGTGTCTGTGGGTGCAGCACCCCGATCCCAGCGCTCCCTAAACCAGGGACTCTGAGCCAGAGAGGATGAGGGGCACTGAGGGGGGACATCCCTGTCCTGGTGAGGCATAGCGGGACTTGGGGGGCTGCAGAATTTGGGGTGCTGGCCAGCTGTGTCCGGCTAGCATTGCCAGGGTGGGCATCACCCAGGGGGTGCTGGAGGGGCTCAGAGGAGGGGTGCTGGCTCTTGGGGGGCTGATGATGGGGTTCTGGTTCTTGGGGGGCTGATGTGGGGCACAGAGTGATGGAGGTGCTGCTAAAGGGGGGCTCAGTGAGATCCTTGGGGGCTGCTGGGGGGGATGAATATGGGGGTGCTGATTTTTGGGGGGCTGCTGATCTGGGGGGTGTCATCCAACGGGTGCTGGGTCCTGGGGGTGTCACTGCCAGGGGGTGTCCCTGTGTGGGTGTTGCGAGGCTGTCCCTGCTGGGAGGTGTCCCGGTGTGTGTGCTGGGTCCCGGGGGTGTCACTGCCAGGGAGTGTCCCCGTGTGGCTGCTGGGTCCTGGGGGTGTCACTGCCAGGGGGTATCCCCGTGTGAGTGCTGGGTCCTGGGGGTGTCACTGGCGGAGGGGGTTCCCTGTGTGGTTGCTAAGGGAGGAGATGTCACTCACCGGTGGGGACTGTCACTGGTGCGGGATGTCACCGGTGGGGGGTGTCACTGGTGAGGGGTGTCACTCTGTGGGTGCTGGGTCCCCGAGAGTGGGATCACTGCCGGGGGGTGTCACCCTGTGGGTCCTGGGGGGCTGTCACTGCCAGAGGGTGTCCCCGTGTGGGTGTTGCGAGGCTGTCCCTGCTGGGAGGTGTCCCGGTGTGTGCCCCTGAGGGTGTCACTGTCGGGAGATGTCCCTGAGGTTGTCACTGCAGGGAGGTGTCCCGGTGTGTGTCTCTGAGGGTGTCCCTGCCGGGAGGTGTCCCGGTGTGTGTCCCTGCCGGGAGGTGTCCCGGTGTGTGTCGCTGAGGGTGTCCCTGCCAGGGGATGTCCCGGTGTGTGTCTCTGAGGGTGTCGCTGCCCCGGGCCCGGCAGGCGGGGTCCGGCCCGGTTCCCGCCGTTTCTCCCTCACGGAGGCCGTTCCAGGCCCTCTCCCGCCATCTCCCGCCCCATGCCGGTCGCGGGGCGGTGCCGGTGGCGGCGGGGCCGGAGGAGGCGGCTCCAGGTCCCCTCCCCGCGCCGCCGCTTCCGCCGCCGCCGCCGCCCTGGGCCGGGCGGGCCCGGCGGGGCCGAGCGGGCGGCGGGGCCGCCATGAAGCCGAGCGGAGGTGAGCGGGAGCCGGGCGGGGACACAGGGGGCTGGGGCTGTGAGGGTGACGGGGCTTTGGGGGCTCTGGGGGTAACGGGGCTGTCCCGCAGCAGAGGAGCCGGTGCTGCTGGCGGAGCTGAAGCCGGGCCGGCCCCAGCGCTACGATTGGAAATCCAGCTGCGAGACCTGGAGCGTCGCCTTCTCCCCCGACGGGGCCTGGTTCGCCTGGTCCCAGGGACACTGCGTGGTCAAACTGATCCCGTGGCCCCTGGGGGAAGCCGAGCTGTGAGTGCGGAGTCATGGAATGGGTTGGGTTAAAAGGGACCTTAAAGCTCGTCCAGTCCCACCCCTGCCATGGCAGGGACACCTCCCACTGTCCCAGGCTGCTCCCAGCCCCAATGTCCAGCCTGGCCTTGGGCACTGCCAGGGATCCAGGGGCAGCCCCAGCTGCTCTGGGCACCTGTGCCAGGGCCTGCCCACCCTGCCAGGGAACAATTCCTAATTCCCAATATCCCATCCATGCCTGCCCTCTGGCACTGGGAGCTATTCCCTGTGTCCTGTCCCTCCATCCCTTGTCCCCAGTCCCTCTGCAGCTCTCCTGGAGCCCCTTTAGGCCCTGCAAGGGGCTCTGAGGTGTCCCTGGAGCCTTCTCCTCTCCAGGTGAGCACCCCCAGCTCTCCCAGCCTGGCTCCAGAGCAGAGGGGCTCCAGTCCTTGGAGCATCTCCTCCTCTGGTCTCACTCCATCAGCTCCACAACATCCTGATGTTGGGAATTCCAGGGCTGGGCCAGCTCTGTAGGTGGTGTCTCACCTGAGTGGGGCAGAGGGGCAGAATCCCCCCCTCCTTTCCTGCTGCCCACGTTGGGGGATCAGCCCAGGGTGTTTCAGTGGTGTCCTCCCAGTGCTGCTCTCCATCCATTCATTCCCCAAGCTTGGATTGATCCCAGGGGTTGCCCAGTGTGGGGTGAGGATGGGTGCAAGGAGCTGGGGGTCTCGGGGTGAACACTCCACCCATCCCTGCCTCCCTCCAGTGGCTGCAAAACCTCGGAGCGCAAGAGCCGGGGCAGTAAAGTGGAGACCTGGAGCCGTGGGGCAGCCAAGGAGAAGACTCTGGAGTGTGGGCAGATCGTGTGGGGCCTGGCCTTCAGTGCCTGGCCAGCACCTGAGGATGGGGACACAGATCCTGCCTGTGCCGTGGGGCTTCCCTGCCTGGTCCTGGCCACCGGGCTCAACGATGGGCAGATCAAGGTGTGGGAGGTGCAGACAGGTGAGCAGCCCTCGCTGTCGTGGCTTCAGGGTGGCTGTCCCCTTGTTCCCCTGTGGAAGGAGATCCCATCTCCCCATTCCCCAGTACCAGCCCTGTCCCAAGCAGGGCTGCATGAATGCTCTGCCTCATTCCCCGTGGATGGATGACACTGAGCCTGGCTCCTCTCTGCAGGGCACCTCCTCTTCAGCCTCTTGGGACACCAGGATGTTGTCAGGGACCTGAGCTTCGCTCCCAATGGAAGCCCCATCCTCGTGTCGGCCTCGCGGGACAAGACCTTGCGTGTGTGGGACCTGAGCAGGGATGGTAGGAACATGCAGGGATATCCCTGTGCTGGGTCAGGGAAAGGGGAGAAACCCTTCTTGGGAGGGAAGGTGGTGGGAGGGGACCTTAGGGGACAGTATTTGAGGCAGAAGGGCACAGCCATGTGACTGGGAGCAGAGTGTAACCTGGGAGATACAGGAGGGCATTGCCTTGGGATTTACCCAGGGAATCCCCAGCCCAATGTGAATTCCCACTGGGGAAAGGGAGGGAGAGCAGAGCCAAGGAGTCCTGTTCTCCTCTGGTGACACATTTCTGCTGTCCCCAGGGCGGCAGGTGCAGGTGCTGTCGGGCCACGTGCAGTGGGTCTACTGCTGCTCCATCTCCCCAGACTGCAGCATGCTCTGCTCTGCTGCTGGTGAGAAGTCGGTGAGTCCTGCAGGATGGGAGCCATCCCTGTGCCTGCTGTGTCCCCAGAAACCCCCCTGGAGAAGGGCCAGGCCATGCTGCCCTGGCTCCTCAGGAGCTGGAAGCTGGGAGCAGAGCCCATGTGCTTTAAACCTTGGGATGCTCCCAGCCTGATGCCCTGCCCAAATTCCACAGGCACTGCTGTGGAGCATGAGATCCTACACCCTCATCCGGAGGCTGGAGGGCCACCAGAGCAGCGTGGTGTCCTGTGACTTCTCCCCGGACTCTGCGCTCCTTGTCACCGCGTCCTACGACGCCTGTGTCATCATGTGGGACCCCTACACCGGGGAGCAGCTCAGGACACTGCGGTACAACCACCTGGGAGGGGACACAGCAAGGCTAGGGAGGTTTTTAGGGCTGGATGTGGCTTTCCCCATTGGATGGGCACAGCCACCATGTCTACACTGTGGTGTGGACCATGGGGACACTGTGGGACAGGACAGAGCAATGCCAGGGAGGTTTTTAGGGCTGGATGTGGCTTTCCCTTCTTGCTGGGCACAGCCATCATCACTCCTCTGCTTCCAGAGGCAGGATGGGGGTCTGGCTTGCCAAGTTTGGTGGCTCTGCCAGCCTCAGCTGGGGAAGGGGCTGGTGGCAGCTCAGAGCTGATGCTGGAATGTTGTCCCCACCCACAGCCATGTCCCGTTGCACTCCATGCTGGACTCCAGCAGTGAAATCCACACCAGCTCCCTGCGCTCCGTCTGCTTCTCCCCTGAGGGGCTGTACCTGGCCACGGTGGCAGATGACAGGTGAGTGAACCCCTGTGGGGCCCCAGGAGGACACCAGAATGAACCAGGAGCTCAGGAGGTGGGGAATAAATGTTCCAGATCCCCACCAATTCCTGGAATCAGGGGAAAGGTCAGACCCACAGGAACACCATGGCTGGGCTGTGACAAGGGGTAGCAAGGTCATGGCCCTGTCACCCTGAGCTGAGGTCCATGTCCTCCTGGGTGCTGTGCCACCCTCAGCATGTCACTAGCTCAGCAGGGGACAGTCCTCCCAGGAACACTCCTATGGGAAGCAAATCCTTTTTTCTGTCTTTGGATCTGATCTGATCCCAGAGGCTTTATTTTGGCAGCAGGCACTGCACTGTGTCCTCTCCCTTTCTCCACAGGCTCCTGAGGATCTGGGCCTTGGAGCTGCGGTCTCCAGTGGCCTTTGCCC